ACTGGACATTAGATTGATCCAGAGACGAGAGAGACAGCTTTCCACCTGGGAAAGTTAGATCCCGTGTAATGGCCTGGGTGCTGTGTCAGTACACCAAAGAAAGGCCCCTGCAGTCCTGAGTGCTGTGCATTGTGGGAAGCTTTCGATTTGATGCCGTGGCCCACTTCCGGTTCCCTGCGCAACAGTAGTTCCTTCCAGAAACTCCTTGTCTGCGTGTATTTGAAGATCTACCTATGTGTAGTTCTAGTGTTTTCACAGGCTCATGCCGTTTTTAGTTCACTTTCTGTTAAAAACAAAACGGGGGATAAGGACAGAGGTTCATTTTTCTCTACAGGTGGTTATCCAGTTTCTTCCACATTCTTTGTTGGAGAAGCCATCTTTTATTCCAAGGCGAGTTATTGTCACCTTTGCTGGAACCCGGGCAGCTATCACTGTGTGGATTTATTTCTGGGTCTGTTTTGGTGCCGGTACCGTGGGTACCACGGACTTCTGTTTGTTTGTTTTTCACTTGAGTTCTATTGTGTTAGTTTTGCTCATTCTGCGCGAAGACTGCTTCCACTGCGTGGAGCCTCTCTATCCCCAAGGGAACCTTAGACTTGTGTTTCTATTTTTGTGGAAAATGTCATTGGAGTTTTGATGAGGGTGACTTGAATTTGTTACTCTCCATAAACCTTGCATCTCTCTGAGTATGACAAAGTCTGAGCCCATATTAAGAAATTGGCTTGTCTCCTACCAAGTTCTTTTAAAAATGCATTGCACTTGTTTAGAGCTCTGTGTGTGGTACACGTGTCTCTGTGGTGTGTGTGTGTGTTGTTGTTGTTGTCCGGTGTGCCATAGTACACTTGTGGAAGTCAGAGGACAACTTGTGAGTGCTAGCTCTCTCCTTCGGCCACACGGGTCCTGGGGAAGGGAACTCAGGCTTGGGAGCAAGGTCCTTTACTCACTCAGTGGTCTTGTCAGCCAATTGCTGGATTCTTCATGCTTCTGGAGTATTAGTCCTTTGTCAAATAAAACTTAAATGTATTTTTTTCTCTCTCAATCTGTAGCGTGCTCAGTTGATCTCTTAATATTCTCTTGGGATAAGCCGTTTACAATTGTGTTCAACTCTCATTTCAGTCATGTGTATCATGTTTGTTCCGAAGAAATCTTTGAGAGAACTACCCTGGGTGTTGGTGGTTTCGAGCTGCTGTTGCTATGGAGTCTCAGCCTCACTTAATACCGAGGGCTTCTCCCTAAGCTCCTGAGGGCTGGCATTTCAGATACCTCTCTCCGTAGTGGCTTTTCTCTGTAGTTTTTACTGAAAGCCAGGGCTGGAGGTTTCATTCATTCTATCAACCACCTGTGCAGACTCTGCTCTGTGATGCCAGGGATCCAGTTTTACTTTTTTCTGTTCCTTTTTAATTAATCCATATTGACACCCAATGTCCACTAGGTTGCGTTAGGTCGGGCCCATGAAGTGGCATGTCGAGCATGCTCCCAGTCTGTCACCCCAACATGCTTAATTTTATTTTTCAGTAAACTGTCTTGGAAGTTAAAATTTTTTTGTTTGGTGGGTTTTTTGTTTGTTTTTTGAGACAGGGTTTCTCTGTGTAGTTTTGGAGCCTGTCCTAGAACTCGCTCTGTAGCCTGGGCTGGACTTGAACTCACAGAGATCCGCCTGCCTCTGCCTCCCGGGTGCTGGAACTAAAGGCGCGCACCACCAACGCCCAGCAGAAGTTAAGGTTTTATAGCAAGCGGTGAATTTATTCACTCATGACCCCTATTTTTCATATTTGGTAAGATTATATGTTCTAGATATTTTGCATTAATGCATACATACATTTTGTACCTGGTTTGTCAGTTTCTACCAAGAATACTATTGATGCCACAAATTGGGATTATATCGAACTAGAGATGTATCGGCGAGGAATTTATGTTCCTCATGTATCTGTCATTGGCAAACATGCTACAATCCACATGTATTTATAATTTCACTTCTATAGAAACAGCTTAGACAACGTGTTAAAACTATTCAAAAAGCATTTTACTGTTTGCTGCTGTAGTTAATTGATTTTACATAAAGGTCAGTGTGTCATGACCTTGCTAAATTATTAGCATGGAGACGTGTGAGGATTTTCTCTATCGCCAATCAAATAATTTGCAGAGAGATCAATTTTACTTTTTTCTGAAGACTCAGCCCAGGGTTTCACTTGTGCTGGGCAAGAAGGCGTGTCTCTGCTGACATCTGAACCTCTGTCTTCCTTGACTTCGGGTGTGTGTGTGTGGTGCTGTGCCAGCTTTACACGTGGTTACTGGGGATACACACTCAGGCCCACGGGCTCGCACAGCGGGCATTTGAATCACCGAACCCCGCTCTTCTCCTCCTCCTGGCTTTTATTACTTTTTGTCTCTTGCTTAGGCTGTACAGTAAAAGGTTGAATTTTTTGTTTTTTAAAGAACAAACATTCACTGAACTATGTCAAAATACTTTTGTATTTATGGAAAGTTTCACACATGTGTAAACGTCGTCTTAGACTACCACAAGTGGGGGTTTGAGGAGTCTATGTCACCCTTCACTACCATGACAGGAGCTTGGCAGGGCCGGGCACAGACACAAACTCCTGTTCTACCAGCATCGCCATGCACGCAGATGCAGGAAGTCCTGTAGTAGGAGTTTTAGTTTTTCCTCTTTATTTTTATGAATAAAAGTCAATGCGGGATGGGGGATGTCATTCTGTAAATATGTTTCTCTTATTGGTTAATGAATAAAGCCCTGTTGGCCAATAGGAAAGAAAGAGAGGTGGGACTAGGAGACGAGGAGGTTTTGGAGAGAGGGAGGAGGAGAGTCAACATGTAGGACCAACAGGTTAGAACTCCGGATCCTCTCTCTGGTAAGATGAGACCACGTAGAAACACTTAGATTGATAGAAATGGGTTAATGTTTAAGACAGAGCTAGCTGATGAGAAACACTAGTAACAGGCCAACAGCTCTATATCTATCTAATACAGTGTCTGCGTGTTATTTGGTGCTTGCACAGCTGTGGGACCAGGCCAGCGGGAAAACTGCTCGTAACAAACGCCCACACCCTATTTAACGAGAGCTGATAGAACAAAAGACTCAGCATTTTAACTTGGAGGAGAAGACACGCAATATTGATGTTTCCATGGATGTATGATTTTTTTTTTCATAACTAAAATACAAAGTTTTAGTAGACAGGAAGTGCTCGAAAGATGGCATTTTCAAGTGAGACGAGAGCATGCAAAACAGTGACGTGCTTGGAAGAAACACTTCAGTTCCATGTCATATTACTCTTTATTAAGTGACATATTTATGGAAAATAGTTGAAAATGCCTGTCAAGGGGAGAGCTATATCCCCCTGATGTACAGTCTTCTCAGGCAAGTCAGGCACACAAATGAAAAAGAGTCAACACACATTTGCCATTTGCCCAGGAAGGGGCACTCCATCTCCTTACTTTCCAGTCAGAGGAGATACACAGACAGTAATGGAAATACCGCCAGAAAAGACAAACACCGGTTCCCGACAGCCTGTGTCCCCACATGGCTTAGAAACACAAGACTATCACTAGGGGACACACGAGGACTCCCCCAGGACATATCACAGGGTACATCCTGGGTGTTTTGTTTAATGCTTTTGCTAAGACCATTATATCGCGAATGGTGTATTAGCAAAACACACACCAAAAGAAAACTTTGGTAACTTGAGAAAGACCCCGGGAACAGTCAAACAACAACAACAAAATGTTAAAATCTGTTTGATTCTTTGTCCCAAGAAAGGCTGGTGAGGTAGTTTATACTGCGCATACACATTGTAGGGAATCGGTATTCCAGTTCATCCAAAGACCGCTGGCTGGAAGAATCGTCTCCCAGCTGAGCCGCATAGCAGGGGGCCACTCTTAGGAAGCACAGTGGGGGATGAGGCAGTTGTAGGAATCTTCTCGAATGTGTGTTCCTACAGGTCTCGTCCTTTACTACGTTCCCGGGTGATACTATTTTCCTACTTGTGTATCAGGAGCACTTGATGTGTGAGAAGCCAGTAGGAGCGTCACTTACTAGCCATGTAGCTGGCCTTTCCTTTGTCGGCAAATACCCCATTTATTCTAACAGGTTGGCTACTGAACTTTTGAAACCCAACTCTCAATAAGGCCAAAGTTCTTTCAATACTTACATGACAGACACTTTAAACTTAACTGAAGGTTTATTCTTCCAGAATAAAGCCAGTGGAAGAGGCTCCTTGAGCACACAAACATTAGTTTGCAGGTCTACTAAAACTTCTCTAGTCAATGAACCATGTGACTAAGAACAAAGAGTTATGGCCAACGTCGATCTTGATGTTGACATTGCCCTCTATGCAATACAGTTATTTGAAAGCTGTCATGTTCCCGAATAAACTGAAACGATTAACTTCAAGTTGTTGATTCCACCAAGACTTAGCATCTGAAGCCACGCGACAGTGGGTGCAAAATGCAGAGCCTTGCCTTGCGTCACCTGCCATCCACTAGCTGCCTGCTGGAGACTGGCAACTAACACTAATGCATAGATTGGAGTGTACTGTCAGCCAAATGACATGAGAACTCTGGAAAAGAGAAATAAATGAACAGGTCTGTGCAATTTCTGTATAAACACACCAGAACTGGGCGCTCTTAATGCAGAGAAACACAGGGACATGTTCACATATTTACAGAAACATGGCTATGCTCTAGAAGGATGGCTTCCATTCGTAGGCAGGGATTCCTCCGGGGATGTCCTGGAATCCAGCAGCTATACAGAGGGATATGTTCACTTACTGCCTGCACTACAAAATGATGACACACTCATTGCACACGCTCATAGGCCCACTGGGCAGCCTTGAAACCCGTGAAACACCGGAGCACACACAAACCTCTGTAGTGCATATTTGGCTTTAAGTGGTTTTCAGAGAAAGGAAATAGAAATTCATTAATAGATCAAACAAACCGTGTGTGTGTGTGTGTGTGTGTGTGTGTGTGTGTGTGTGTGTGTGTGTGTGTTTCTAGAAAAGTATTGCAAACTCATGAAGGCCGCTGAAATAAAATGGTCTGTGTGTTGAAAGTACAGGTTGCTCTGCTTCTACGGTAAGATGACCTGACTGTCGGAGTTAAGAATGGTTTGTTCAGTATCGGGCATAACCCGGCAGACGAGATCGCTTCTGCACACGCATTTACAGTACCCTCGAGTTACCTCCGGATGTGGTGGGCTATGTAGGGAAGGAAACGGTTCTCTTGGATTTGCAATTCAATTTTGCTAGCACTGGCCCTTGGGTCTTAAATGTTGTAGGCTGCTGTAAGTCTGTGTAGGATGAAGCACACTGGGATTTTGCCCTCAGTCTCCAGAAGGCAGAGCTGTCCTGTCCCTCAGCTCATTTTAGATTTGTTCCTATCAGAAGCATGAGGACTTAATGCTCCCCACTGCAGATCTAGCAAGAGCTGTGTAAGATGTAGACTGGGAGGCAGATTCCAGCTTGCACAGCCCAGCGCCGGTCCACAGGGCTTTATGTCTCTAGTTAATAATAGACCAAAAAGCACAATGCACGTTGGCAACTTATCAGTTCTGGGTCTAGGGGTGTTTTCAGCCCTTAGGGGTAAATGCGTTTCTGTTATCTTTTGAGTGGAGGCTGCAGGAGTGGCTAGAGTTGGGAAATGCTAAAAGGAGAGATCTGCAAAGGGCATACATCCGTGCTGACACACACAAGGTGGTTTCTTCACTGAGCACCGTAACCGTGAGAAGAGAGGAGATGCATGACGTGACTGTGGACCACGAGGACACTCTGGAAGTCTGGAAGCACAGGACACCCTTAGCACAACTGGGATTTGCAATGAGGACCTGTGGTCACGAGACAAGGAACCGCACGCCGCCGCCTCAACACTCAGCGTTTGCGGGCACCCCATTTGCACCGGGGTGTGCCACCCAGTCCTCGTGGAGCACGATGCACAGGAAGGCACAGCTCACAGACGTCTTCAGACTGAAGGCCCTCCAGTCTGTGCAGCCGGAGCATCAATATTGTATGTTTCACATCAGAAGTGCCGCTGTCGGTTCCCAGGCGCAGGGCCAAGCCTCCTTCTGCCACACAGCTCCACAGCAAGTACCGCTGGCCTTTCTCCTGGGTCACACCTTCTTACCAAGGGACTGTGACAAAGTTCAGCTCAGTGTGAGCCAGTTCCCCTTGTGTAGTTAGTTTATTCTGACAGAGCTGGTGACCCCGCCTATCCCGGAGAACCGATTATGGGAGCAAATACCTCGGGGCAGTGTTGTTTTCCCCACGAACGCGGGGTCTTCTTGGCATATAATACAAGGCAAGAGCCATCGGGGGCATATTCCAAGGCTTGGCTAGGGCTTAATCACCCATTCTGCGTGGGGGTTTACGTGATACACATCCAATATATATGCATCGGGGTCCAAACAGTGCTGTCCTAAAAGGGAGAGGAAACCAAAACACTCAGGCTGGTAAAGCAGTTGCCTTGTAAGCATGAGGACGTGTGTTCTATTCCCCAGGATCTAGATAGAAAGAAAGGAAGACAGAGGAAGAGAGAGAGAAAGAGAAAGAAAGGAAGAGAAAGAAGGAGGAAATGAAGGGAGGGAGGGAGGGAGAGAGAAAGGAGGAGGAAAGGAAGGAAAGGAGGGAGAAAGAAAGGAAGAGAGAAATAAGGAGGCAAATCACGGATCAGAAAGGGGAAGCTGCAGTCACCGACTTCTCTAAAGCAGCAAGGTCCCCGACTCCATTCAGTATTTATCCTCCAACCCACAGGTGAGTGTGCGCTACACCCCGCATCAAGGAAACAGCTCTTGGCAACAGAAAGAGGCCATCACAGGAAACACCAGCCAACCAACATGCAGACTTGTAGAGCCCAGCCCCAGTGGACACATGTACAAAACAGCTCCCACACCTAAGGCTCGGGGGAGGCTGTGTGCACAGAGCAAGACTTCCAAGGAAGGGCTACATCCATGAAAGCCAAGAAGTAACAAGAGACTCAATGAAACAGGAGCAAGCTCGGAAACTCATGCCGTCCCCGGCAGCAAACGGAGACAAGCGTTTTCAGACAGGAGAACTCAGGCCAGGCAGTCACTAACACAAAAGCAGTGGCTGCATTTCAGAGTGAGCTCTCTGGTGCCCTGGATGAGAGGGTGGCTTTGGCGAGGCGTTGAGTAGGACTCTGGACTAGAGAGGTTTCACGAGGTTAGAAACTGGGAGGAGAAAGGTTAAAGACTGCTGGGTGAGGCGTGCTGTGAAGTGGGACAAAGAAATGGGAGAGGATTTGAAGGCATCAGAGGGTTCTAAAGAGGACAGAAATGTTAGTTTGTGTTTTTAAATTCGAGTCGCAAGCTCACCACATTTCCCCAGGTGTTCTAAAACTCAGCACCCTCCAGAGATCTAGTCTCTGTAGTGCTGAGATTACCAACACAGCTATGCACTGTGAGGCTGCCTGCTTGATACTGCCCTCCTGTCACTGGCCACATGCCTCTCCATTCAAGAGAAGCCAGGCTTCATTTCTGTGCTGTGAGGACTGAATGCATCCCCTCTACAGCCTGCCTCACCACCCCAAGGTTCCTTAGTGCTTTGCAAACCATTTTAGGTAGGGCAGCTACTGATGGGAGGGGAACGGTTACAGAGCACAGGTAGAACAAGGCCCTGATTGGGCAGAAAAAGACATCTGTGCGGAGGTCAGAGAAGCCCTGTCCACAAATGAAAGAGAATGCAGGAACACGCCAGCCACAGAAGACACACACACAGGCAAACGGAATCGCTTTTGACCCATGTGCAGCAGGGAATGACCATTGGGCGTGAGCCGGAACAGGGAGCCACGCTCAAGTTCTCAGCTCTGTTCTGTCTTCTAAGTCCAGTAAGAGGCGGCTCCTAACTTTGAGAGTCACACCAGAAAGGCCCCAAAGTCTTTACCTTACTTAGGTTTTGAGAACACTGGAGAGAAATCATGAAACCGCTTTTATATGAAACTATAACCCCCCACCCAGACACTTGCTAATTTTTATCTAGAAGACTTGTGAGAAAAGCCTACAGTAGCGATGTGTCGTGGACTATGGGAATAGCGACGGTTGAAGGTGCTTACCTATGTTCCCTCCAACTTCATACAACCTTTGGTTCTGCGTCTTAATGCATTCCGATGAGCTACGACTAAAACAGAGAAAGCAACAGTTGAGCATTCTTTCAGGGTCCATGGGGAGAACTGACAAGTCATCCCATCACGATGACACACACCCCGCACCCTCTGCTATGACCAAAGTCGTGGCAACAGCAACAAGCATTTAAGAACTTAACTCGGCCTCTCTAGAGGCTGAGACACTTCCCAACCAGCAGCACGCTCAGTGGCCTATGGCACCAGAGAACATTCTAGCTGGGAATGGCACAGAAGCGGGGTGGGTGGAGGGTGCAGCACCTGTTTACCACCGGTCACAATCCTCCTCATTCAAAAGAAATCAACTTCAACTGTGTGTCTGCTGAGTTTGAACGCATTCCCCCTTTAGCCGGGGTCACAGCTCCAGGCTCCCTAGTGTTCTAAAAAAATCACCTTCAAAATCACCGGAATTACCCAATGGCGATTTCTTTCCAAGTCTGCCGTTCAATAAAAAGAAGTCGGAGAAAGCGATCGCCCAATTCAATTTTTCTATCCCAAGTTTAGACTGTTGGGATGAGAGAATTCAAAAGGTCTGTGCCAATCACAGCGATTCAAGAACAGTCTGCAACTCCGCTGAGGAGAGGAGAGGCAAGTGTCTTTGTTCTTACTAATTTTTTTTTTTTTTTTTAATTTTTAGTGAGGTAATCTTTGAGGTAACTGTAAATTTGCATGCCATCTTCAGAAATGACACATGTGGACCCTATGTATCCTTCAGAGTTTCCACTTGTGAAGCTGGGATGCAATTTCGGAGAGAGAATGTTGGCATTGATTCAAGCAAAACTTGCATTTCCATCAGCCAGGGTTACGGCCACTTCTACCATCCTGTCCTTACTATACCTGAGCCTGGCAAACCAGTATTACCTAGTCTGCAATCCTATAAATTCCTCATTTCCCAAATACGACACAAACAGGCCAGCACAGTGGAGAAACTCTCGGTAGTGTACTGGCTTTTGTCCCACGCCACACCAACCCCTAGGGACCTGAGCAAGTCCTTTCCTCTCTTGGTTCTGCAGAGTACCCTGGGATCTAGCATGGTTTGGTCGCTGACTCACTGGAAGATTTCTAAGGCTTGTCTGACCTTGTTTCAACAAAGTTGTTATGGGTTGTGTTGATGATGTCTTCACATCTGGGGGATAAATGCCAAGGAGTTTGGATGCTAGGCCATCCCGTTAAACTGCTAACCCAGCGTGTGGTGTTGATGAGCTATTAAACAGCCCACACTGATGACGTGTGACTACCGCAGCTTCTCTGTGTCTCTGCAGTACTTGATTTTGCTGTACGTTATGTTAGAACCCTCATGGGCATGCCATGATACGCCGCTGTGGTTTTAGTTTGCATTTCCTTAGTGGCTAATGCTCAGCATACTTCCGTGCATGTACTTTTCATCCATCTTTTCCCTTTCGCCAAATGTCATCTATGTTTCCGCTATTGTTGGGGTTGGAGTGCCCCACAAAGGTCCAAACCCTAGGTAAACCCCCTAGGAGGTGTGGTGCTTAGTGCAAGAGTTCAGACCCCTGGAGACGCAGAGGAGATGTGTGACCCTGGACACTTCCTCTTTCCCCTTCATGGGCAGTTTTGCTCAGTGACATGTCTCCATGGTGATGGGCTGCCTTGCCACAGGCCTAAAAGCAAGAGGATCGATTGATTATGAACTGAACCCTCCATGGTGGAAGGAAAAGAAGCATTTTCTCTCTATAAGCTATCTTAGGTATTTGCTATAGTGGCAGAGAGCTGCCCTGGGTAAAACACCCACTCCGGCTCGCTCTCTCTTCAAACTGCATTGATTGGTCCTTACTGCTGAGTAGCAAGTGCTTCAGGTGTCTATTTTTAGCCACCACCTCACCCTATTCACAGCTCCTCACAGCTCTTCTCACTCGCTAAGGTTTCAGTTTTGATGAGGGTGAACTTATCAGTTTTATCTAGTATGATTCTGGGATTAAGCCTAGGAAACTCATCATTTGTCCCGTCATAGAGACTTTCTCTTTTTATTTTAATAAAGTTTTCACATTTCTCATTATACGTTTAAATCCATGGTCCATTTGGAATCAATTTTTAAACAATGAGACCTAGACTAAATTTATTATTTTTTTTCCCCAGGCCTATGGAGGTCCAGTCACTACAGCATCATGTATTGTAAAGCTACTTTTTCTCCAATGAATGTTTTGGTATTTTTGCCATAAATTTGCTCCAAGAATAGACAGTTAGGTAAAAGAGTGTCAACAGGAGCAACTTTTATTACAACTAAGATCATTGAACATTTACTTATCGGTGTGTGTCTTATGTGTGTGGGCTCATGCATGCCATGGCATGTGTATGAAGGGGTTGGTGACTGACCTCCGGTTGACAGGCCGGTGGCATGCACTTTTACCCGCCGAGCCCTTCAGTCTTCTCCAGGTTATAACTTTCAACTGAGGTATTCACAGTTCTTAGTGGGAGGTTGGGCAGCTACTGAAGTTGTGTCGGAGGATTTGAGTCTATAGTCACCAGACCCAATTTATTTTTATTAGGAACATTGTCTCTATAAAATATTACACTTACTTATTTGTGGAAGGGCTGTATATGCCATCGTGCATGACTGGGACTCAGAGGATACCGTGTGGGCGCTTCCTACTATGTGTGTCCTGGGTGTCGAACTCAGGTCGTCAGGTTTGGCAGCAAACACCTTTAACCCACTAAGCCATCTCACTGGACCAGAGCGTTTTCTTTCACAAAGGTCCAGTTGAGGATTTAGTAACTTACCAGATGCCAACATCCTCGCAATAAGATTTCAACTTTTTTATATGGCCACCTACAAATGATAACTACGGTACTTTAAGATACCTAGGCCAAAAATAGAGTTACATGACTATTCCAATTCCTGTTAGCCTGAGCCGGTCTGCTCTCCTTTTCTGTTCTAACTCAAGTTTTTGAAGATAATTTTTAAAATTATGTTCATGTACAGAAAACTCAGCAGTGTACATTTAACCCAGTTAGCGGCGAGGGCGAGTTCTTTGCCCCTTCTTCCAGCTTGGCAATGCAAGCCACAGATTTAGGACACAGGACCCTTGATGATGTGGTACAGGATCCCCATCTTGTGACGCAGGGCAGGCTAACTCAGTGGGGTCTCCGTCGCGGGCCATCACCACTAGATGAGCCTTCATGTCCTCCACCACGGTCGTGATTCTATGACCCCTGCTTGAAGGACTTCCCCTCTGGCAGCATCTTTCTTCTCCGTGTGGGCCAGTAGCCTTTGCTGCTTCTGCTTTGTCTCTGCCCCGTAGCTGTGGGGAAGTTCAAGCAGCTGGGTAGCTGGTGTGCTGGTCCAGGGCCTGGGGGAACTGGTTAATGACAAGAGGTATTTTGAGCCACTTACAGAGGGTGGCCCTCTATTGCTGCAGCCTGGCATAGCCAGCCGTCTGACGAAGTGTGTGAGATCTCTTTTGGATTGATGACCTGTCCAATACTGAAGTTCTTGGGCCTTGTCTCAGAAGGATGATTTACCACCTTTTTGGAGTCTTCTCTCCTTTGGGTGTCTTGCTTAGCTGAAGTTTAATGCAATTCTGAAGAGAGTGTGTGTGTGGTTGTACACATGCACAAATGTGCCTACACATAAAGTTCATGAATCACAAGTCTATAAATTTGCAAAATGAACATAACAGGTGACCAGCCCTCAAGGAAACCAATGGCATGCTTTTCAGTCCCAATGCCCTCCACCCCCCCACAAAACCTGGAAAAACAGCCTGATGTCTACCACCATCGCCTGCTTCTGCTGTTTCTATCTCCATTGAACGATTACAGCTTTACATACAACTGTGAAAGACAATACAGATTCTCTGTGCCCATCTCACCAATGGCAAAAGTCTGCAAAACTACACTGTGGTGCCCTAGTCAGGGTATCAAAATCGGCATATTCAGACAGAGTGACATCTGGGCTCACGGAGCATTAAGTTCAACGCACTGCCAGAGAGACCTGTCGACCCACCCCCATCCCAGTCGAGAGTTCAGAACCAGAGTTCTACATTACCTGCATCCTCCATGTTGCTCCGTCATAGCCATGTCTGTGTTCCCATCATAACCACATCATCATCACGAACTTACTCCCTACTTATGACACCTATCATTCCCGAGCTGTCACATGAATGAAATTCACAGCATGTACACGTACGCAGAGAGCTCTCTCTTGAACAAACAAGGCTACGGCTTTTAGATTTGTTCCAAGTGCTTAAGGATATACACGACTTTCCATAGAGATAATCAAACCACGCCTGCATTTCAACTAATGTATTTAAATAGGTGCTTCTTGTCCTTTGAAAACAGTAGATTATGTAAGGTGTTTCCATCAAGTATGCACTCCTGTAAGGGTGGCTAATGTTCTTTTATGGTCACTTCTGGAGATGAGAGCTATAAGTATCACTCAGATGCTGTCAATGACTGTTCTCAGGCTTTCAAAGGAACAGGGATGCTGTCCAGGGAGCCGACATGAGGCTTTAAAAAGGGTAGTGATGTTGTCCAGGGAGCTGACATAATTCTTCTGGAAACTGATCAAGATACTGACAAAACTAACTGCCATATATTTCATCCCAATAAAAGATAAAATTCATTGATCAAGTAACTTTCAAGAGAAGAATCATGGGGGCTGTAGAGAGGACCCAGCCATTAAGAAGGTTTGTATGCCTTCCAGTAAACCAAGTTCAATTCCCAGCACCCACATTAGGTGGATCACAAATGCCTGTAACTCCAATCCCAAGAGACCCAACAGGGCCTCTGTGGGCACCTTCACTCATGGCATGAATGAGAGATAAAAATTAATCTTAACAAAGGATCCCATGTGGACCACTGCTTGAGAAGTTGGTCTGTTGGCGATAACACTATTGTCTAACCATCCTTAACTTTCAACCCTTGTGATCTACTGGTCAGATGCCCAAGTAGCGGCTACAGGAGTGGAGGGTGGAGTGCCCCCCCCCCCAATCAAGCTCCTCTTCCGGCGCTGCCTTCAGGCTAGAGCACTCACCTGTTCTCATACTGAAATTTCGCCAGGATGTCTTTGGCTTTCGTCTGGCTGTTGAGCTGAATGGCCATTGACACTTTGGACAGAAGTGGAGCGTGGACCCTTATGACGCCTTCTGGCACGTCCGACTGCCAATGAGGAGAGATGAGAACACTGTCAAACGAGGGTTCGGTGACCGCACTCGAGAGGTGAAGACCAGGGACACTGCGAATGAGGAGTACACATCCACACGAGCAATGCTCGACCAGAGTGGACAACGCCTTCCTGCTCCACCAGAGGACCAGTGACTACATCTGACCTGGGAGTCTACTCTTGCCACTCAGGCCTCACTCCAGTGCTTTGGGATCATACAGAAGAGCGTGTGCATTCTGACAAGTATCTAGTGACTCTTACCAGTATCTTTATTGAACAATATTCTAGAACCTACATTAATTAGTATACATATACATATATACATATATATATATACACACATTTATCTAGTAAAATACATATATCAGTATCTTCAGTGAACAATATATGTGTATGTGTATATATATATATATATATGTATACATCTAATGATATTTATCAGTATCTTCACATAGATATCTAATATTTATCAGTATCTTTAATATTCCAAAGACCTTATTTTAAGATTTACACACACACACACACACACACACACACACACACACACACACACACACACACACAATTAGCCGGAAAGAAAGGAAAGAAAACCTATTCTTACCATTCTTCTTGACGGTGACTTCTGTGGTACCTTCGAGGTCTTGGGGCTCGAAACCTAAAGAAAACACATTCCATCTTTCAGACTAACCCTGAGAATATAAGTACATGCTGTTTCTGGCTGGTGTGATCCTTGGAGTTCCCCAATCTAGGTGGCCCGAACAAGCACAGAGCATCTGGGGTGGACACACATCGTGTCGTTTTCTCCAAGGGTGAAACTTAGCAGTGACTACATTTTATCCCATAGCCTTTCCATGTTTTCATCACAGTCAGGATCAAACTTAGGACCCTGCACATGCTATTAGGAAACCACACTCTGAGCCAGAACCAGCAGGTTGGTTCATTCGAAGGATTTTTTTTTTTTTTTTTTTTGGATTAAGGCCAACATTTGGACATCCTTAGAGATAGTTTCTTAAGAAACTGTTGAAACAGTGCTATTCAGTAGTTTGAATATGCACGGCTGGTCTTATTTTTGTCCATGTAATAACTTTTACTAAAGACTAGACACTCTGAATGTTATCGTATGGCCCGTGTGACCACTTTATAAGCCCATCTCCTACATTGTTGTCCGCAGCATCCACACTGGACCTGTATCATCTTGGCATCAGTGGCCCGGGCTCACTGTCGGCACAGCTGGCCTCGGGCGCTGGCAAACTTCTGTGTATTCGTGGCACTTAGATCCCTTTATCGTCTGTATCACTGAACTTTTCTTTTTTATAAGCAAAATGAGTTTCAAGTTTTTGCATCCTCAGAGTTGAATAGGATCAATGCCTGGGATGCATCGCTATCTCTGCATAAATAACTGTACGGAATACAAAGTCTCTGGGAATGCTACACACTTAATTCTTTTTTTTTTTTAAATGACAATATCTATTCCATTTTCTTTATCCACCAAAGAAATGTCTTTTTCTACTTATTTGATACACTGTCATAGTTGCACTCTAGTTGCTAGGGTACAATACCCTGACTAAATCAGCTTAAGGGAGAAAGGGCTTATTCTGGCATAGGGTTCCAGAGGGAGACATCTGTCATGGCAATGGGAAGCAGGGAGCTGGACGTTCACACTGCAGCCACACGCGGGAAGCGGAGAGGGAAGAGGAAGTGGCCCATGCCCTCTGGGAGGCTCCACCTCCTGCAAGTTCTACAGCATCCCCAAACAGAGCCACCAGCTAAGGACCAAGTGTTGAAACAGGGGCCTCTGACATGACAGCGTCTTTAAATCACCAAGAAGGCTAAAAGGCCGATTTTTGCCTTCTGGGAGCATCATTTCAGCCATTCAAGAAGGTCGGGCAACCTTCAACAGATAGACATTTCAAGGGCTTTATCCTCAAAGCATGTAACCCAACACAAAAGAGAGACCCGCAATATTTATGTGGTGTTTTAACAACTTCATTCCTCCTTTGAGAAGAGAGAGCCCAGATTGTGGACTGCCATGGCCCTTCTGGGATCTGCTCTTGGCTCTGCTGGGGTCCACCCTTGGCCCTGCTGGGGTCCACCCTTGGCTCTGCTGCGGTCCACCCTTGGCCCTGCTGGGGTCCACCCTTGGCCCGGCTGCGGTCCACCCTTGGCCCGGCTGCGGTCCACCCTTGGCCCGGCTGGGGTCCACCCTTGGCCCGGCTGCGGTCCACCCTTGGCCCGGCTGGGGTCCACCCTTGGCCCTGGCCCCCACTGATGCTCTCACCTCCCGCTCCAGGGTCTTCCTCCTGAGCAGTTTCTTCACACTCGGGAGTTGCTTCTTCAACAGCATGGTGGCTTCGTTCATCCTTCTTACTTGGGTGATCAAGAAAGAAGGGACCTGCAGAAGAGAGGACCTTGACTAGAGGGAAACACCCCGGAGAATTCAGCCAGGATTGGAGCCAGGAGCTGTGACATTTGTCCTCCAGATTAGAAAAGTGATGAGGATTTCCATTTGGTAGAGAAAACATGCTTAGAACACGTTTAAAGCATGTACTGCTGTCCCCAAGGGGAGTTGTTCCAGGAACCCCTCAGGTCCTGAGACCTCGGATGCTCAGCCATGTTTGCACATAACCCCTCCATGAATCCCTCTATACTTCAAATCATCTTCCCGTGATTCACGACATCTAACCCAACACCCATGCTGTGTAAGGCATTGTTTCGTTGTATTTATTTAGGGCCCAGTGGCACGACAGTTCAGTATGGATATAAAATTTTGGTAAGACGGTTGGATTTACGGTTGGTCAATTCCAGAGCTGAACAACCTGTGGATGTGGAAGGCTGGCGCCAGGGTACCACAAGCCACCGTGAACTGTTTCCTTCTGCTTTTGACTCCGAGAGTTTCTTGCTCCCCCCCCCCCGGGGCACTGGCGACTCCCTATGGCTGGCACATTCCGTGGGGACACTGGACGCTGTCACTCACCTTCCACAGGATTTTCTGGTACTTGAGCATCAGGCGGATGATGTGGGCTGCGGTGTTGGCGAGCACAAGTTCTTCGTAATCAGAGTGCTTGCTTCGGCTGAAGAACAGGTTCGGCGCCATCACCGTAGAAATGTTCCACAGGCTCATGCGGTTCTTTGATTCATTGGCAATCACTTTACTGAAGAATGTCATCAAAGCCTAACAAGGGACAGGACAGGAGAACCGTGCCACCCCATGCGAGCCACCGACAGGCTTCCCAGATGGCGAGCACTCATTCCCACACCCATTGACCGTGTTGCGGGAACGTGTCGGAAGGCAAGTATGAGCAAATGTGTTCTACGTACCCTTAGACTGCTTAGAAGAGGGAAAGCAAAGCGAACAGTTAATCCAACTGTCTGCTTCATCAAGTAATTCCCTTCTTAGGGCTTATTACCATTGGGTCTACAGATAATAGACTTACTCTTGATCCTAAACAAGCTTGACAAATATTGAAATTAAACATCAACCAGGAAGAGAAAACACTGCAGCTCAGGCAAAATAAAACACAGTTTTGTTGTGAAGGAAGGAAGCTAATTCTCTAAGTAAACCCCCTTAACTGAGGCCCTATTGCCGATGTCCTTTACTGTTTCCTTGAGTCAGCACAAATACAAATGCAGCTGGACGTTTTAAAACATGACTTTAGACATATCATTTTCCTGCTGTTCCTCATGAGCTTGTGACTCCTCTGCCTCAGTTTCCTGAGTCCTGCCATTAAATGCATGCACCACCATGCCGGGCTCTTTTGACTTCTCTTTTTAATTGTGGACTCTTCCCCCGGCCCAGCAAGTGTAAGCATCAGAAGGAGCTCACACCTTTAACCCCAGCACTAGGAAGGAGAGACAGGGTTGCTATGGCTGGGCGAGAGGGGTTAAGGATAAGGCTGGAGGGGACTGGAGCTCAGGGCAGACTCGGTGAATCTGAGCAGCAGTGCAGTCAGAGCAGTCTGAGGTTCGGCGGATCGCCCCTTCCCTCTGAGCATTGGTAGAGGGGAGGACTCTCCTGTGGCTGGCCACTCTGCTTCTCTCTTCATCAGTTTTAACCCCACGATCCGTCTCTGGGTTATTACTCATACTACATGTATCAGTGCTAGTTAACACCTATTTGAGTGTTTACTATGATCCAGACATTATTCTCAGTGATTAATACTTGGTTTTCTGCAGTCATTACCTGTCTAAACTCTATTAGGCAGAAGGTAGGGTGGGGAGGAAATGAAGGGCTCCGCCCAGTGTCCAGCATCAGGCAGTTAAATGCTGGCACCAGGGGCCTGAACTAAGGAAACCCATTCTCCAGCTGTCTCTGCGCCTTCTCTACAGCCAGCGGCTTCAGTCTTAGATCCAGACAAACTAGGACGGAAGAGAGAGGCTGCACTTGCATGTCCGTGTAAGTAAGTGTGTGTCATTCCACAGGCTGAAGTGTGTGGAATTATTTGTTAATTGTTTACATCCTCGGGCATTTGAGAAAGTTGACGACCCTTCAACCAAGGAAAAGTTTGATGACATTTTCAGTAAGACACCTGATGTCAGATGGACTCTGTGAAAAAATAGCATTGCTTAGGCAAAGCCAAAAACAAATAAAAAATTGTAACTTTGTGAAAAATATTGAATGATATTAAAATCTAACATTTTATGCTTTGCTGGCCCCACCCTCGCAATGAGGATATAATAGAATGCTGTGTTTTATTGCGTGGGGACAGGTTAGATAACCAGGTCCAGCTATGTAGTCCGCAGGAGCCTAGAACTTTCAACAATCCCATGGGTTACAGGCATGCGCCACGTGCTTTTGAATCGAGTGAAGTGTCCCCACCCTGTGGGGAAAGCTATCAACCTCTCCCACCCCCAAAACCATGCAGACAGAAAGCGATCTGATTCCTTGTTCTCTGCATCCTATTGACCGGCCTTAAAATCACCACGCATCTTACTTCGGTCTCGTTCCAGAGGTTCTAAGTACCTGTTCTGCGTGTACCAGCTTCCTAAGATACACACCCATCCTCAAAGCTGCGAGAGAAACCCACATTCTACTACCATAGGACAGAGAAGTGAATTTGAAAGGAAAGTTAGAGGAACTATGGATGCCATTCCACCAGCTGCCCTGTCATTTGTCAGCAGGTAAGTCCCTTCCCTGGGCTTTGTTTTTCCCTTCCAGAAAGTGACCAGGCTCTACCAGATGGCATCTAAACTCCCAAAGCCCCAGACTATTTAAATTACATCATGTGTCTATGTTCTACGGAAATGACAGAAATCCCATAGTCCAGTGATCTGAGATACCCTCCTCAGAGGCTCACCAGGCCGGAAGGAGTCACAGGACTGTAGGGGAGCCAGCACAATAACACTGGGAGCATGCGAGGCTGTGGGACTGTGCCACACAGATGGCCCTGTGAGTTGTCATACTTCTATTTCCCCTAGATGAGCCCCGTGATGATTAGGATGAGGTCGACGCCACTTACCTGGGCTGTGTCCCTGTTGGCGTCAGGCAGGGCCATGACCATGAGGTGCAAGGCTTGAAACTGCACTTTGATGTGAGGCCCTCCTAAGGAGCAGAAATAATCACATGCGTGAGTCCACACTGATGCGTTCTGACAGCAATCGGGCTAACATCTGGCAGCACAGGGGGGCTCTGACAGCTAAGTGGGAGGGACTCAGGCTTGCAGCTCAACAATGTTAATTTGTTCATTTGGACAGGAACCCCAGTCTTCCACCTCCCCTCAGTCCCATCATGCCTGCATGTAGGCAGGCAGCCAAGAATATGCTTTGAATAATTCTAGATTTATATGACGGCCCACAGACCTTGCCTTCCTCCACAAACAGAAGTCAAAGCTCAATTCAAGAGCAAACGAACTTTGCACACAAAGGTGCAGCCAGCCGCATACGGCAACTGAGGATGCATGTTCTAGACCCCGATTCAAACCTGCACTTAGAACTGAGTCCTTTAAGCCATCTGTAACATCCCATGGAGCTCGTAGGGATGGCTCGAGGATGAAGTGAGCTAATGTGCACACAATGCTTAGGCCAGGACCTAGAAACAGTGGTCACCTCATGTGTGGGCACACTGGTTTTGTGAGCACTGCTACTTATTTCCCATCTCATAGACATTTAGGTTTTGGAGAGTGTTGAGGATTTTATTCTGTAATGCCACAAGATGGCACCAGAGGGTTAGTATTCATGGAAGGCTTCCCTTCCCCTCTCTGTAGCCTCTCCAAAAGGGCTTGTTGGTGAAAGTATCTGCGGAGGCAAGATGCTGATGTGTGTGTGTGTGTGTGTGTGTGTGTGTGTGCGCGCGCGTGTGTGTGTGTATTCATAGGTGGAGGTCGGAAGGCAACCTTCAGTATTGTCCCTCAGGAGTCCTCCACCTTTCACTGAGAAAGGACATGTAATAGGCCCGGAACTTTACCAGGTAAGTTAGACTATGTGGCCAATGCGCTTTTGGGAACCCGCCCATCTCTACCCCTAATCTTTCCATCACCAGGATGGCAAGTGTGCACTACCATGCCAGGATCTTTACACCGACTCTGGATTGAAATCAGGTCCTTACACTTATAGTGCAAATGCCTTCTGGCTGGAGCCCTCTGCCCAGCAGCTCTGAGTAGCTCTGGTGTGGAAGGCTCAGGTGCCCCTTACGAAACTCTCACTGCCGTGGCACACAAATCTGCTATGCCCGCTCATTTCGGCAGCCCGTTTGGGATATAAACACAGAGTAAGCAGGAAACTAGCTTGCGGTGCTCGTATTTCAGGAGAACCAGTGTTCTGCATGTTTTCCCTAAAATAGGAAAATCTGGCATGGTACAGGCAGTGTCTGGCTGATGGGCGGTCCTATAGGTGACAATGACAGTCTCTGAAAGGCACTAAGGACCACGCAGAGCGGTGGAGAGCAAACAAGAGTGAGCAGGCTGGAGAGAGCCGGGAACTCAGGACAGGGGAAGTGGCCCACTTTTTCGGACTTCAGTAATCTGGGCAGTGTGAGATGATGAAGACTAAATGCACAGATAAATAGATAACCCTGAGCTGTCTGGCCTGGAACTAGACCGGGGATTGTTGTGGGGGGATGAGACCAGAGAGGCGAGGCTCTGGTTCTAGAACAAGCCACACCACATCTCAGGCCAACCTGCACATACATGTGTGAGGCACAAGTCATGGGTGAAAAGTGAACTGGAATCCTGGCTCCCGGGGTAACTTGCTGACCACGCAAACCTAAGGACCAAGTTTGGATCCCCGCACCGATACAAAAGGCTTGGGTGGTGGCAAATACCAGTAACCTTAATGCTAGGGATGGAGACAGGCAGATCCCTGGGGCTCACTGGCAAACCGGTGCAGAGGTAGTGTGAGGGTTAGATTCAGGTAGAGACACTGTGTCAGAACAATCGACAAATTAAGACGGTGACAGAGAAGGACGCAGGAAGTCAACTCTGGCTTCTACATGTGCGCGCGTGCGCGTGCAATCACACACACACACACACACACACACAATGCTGAGTTGCTGTACCAGAGACTAGTGGCAGCTTTGACCCCACCAAGCAAATGACTTGTTTAAGCACAGCAGCCCAACCCAACACCCAACACAGAATCTAAACTAAGTTCACATACAAATAAGAGTATGTACCCACTCTCAAAGAAGACAGGATCAGAGGTGACCCGGGAGGCTGGACCTAGCAGACCAGGTTTCAAAGCAGGTCTCAAAAGCATGCAAATAGTATGAAGGAAAACATGCATGCAATGAATGATAAATCAGCGCCCCCTCAACAGGCAAATTAAAATATTTAAAAGTATCAACTGAAAGTTCCAGAGCTGAAAAACAAAACAAACAAACAAAAATACATTATCCTCTAAAGTCTTCAGCAAACTAAAAAAGTTAGGAACAACTGTCAGTTTTAGAGATGCAAACTCAGGGGCGTCTCCTATAAACGCCATTTCAGCCTGGTGTCCACAGGAAGCCCCACAGTGCGACCGCATTTCAATGTGCACGACTGGGCATCTGCCTCCCGTCTCCGCCCATTACATTTAACTTCTTCACCTACTTTCCATCAGAGCGATGAAGGCGGGTATGTACTCCACGGGGAAGAGGGAGGTGGGCAGTTCTCTGAAGAAAGCTTTCAACATCACCGCGGCTTCTCTGTGACACATCTTGTCCCATTTGAATTTGTCAGCATTGAACCTGGCGTCCAGTTCTTCACGGTACTGCTGCAAAGCAAGAAGACGGTCAATCCTTGACGGTGCTGAACGTCATGTCCTCTGTCTCCCCATCATGACTTGAAGCTAGACGGCTAAGCAACAGCTAACACTCACATGATTAAGAGCTGAAAGACCTGTTTGGGAAAAAGGTACTTCCAAAGGCATCCTGAAAATAGACATAATCTTGAAACAATTTGCTAATTCTGCACAAATCCAAAAGTTATTAACTGAGTCCATAGCTTCATTTTTGTGGTTTTAGCGGGACACCACAGCCCCCACAAGATAAATGCTTTGCTTGTTTTTTGACAAAACCACCATTTTCCGTTTGTCACAACCCTTCGGCTTCTAAGTCAGACCATGGATGCATGCCTCTCCTCCCCGCTCTTCCACTGTGGGATGAGAAATGTCCTAATAAAGTAACTCTGACTTCACTGTAGCACACACACACACACACAAAGACACACACAGACTGACACACACACAGAGACAGACACACTGACACAGACACACACACGCACGCACGCAGACAGACAGCAGACACACACACACACGCGCGCAGGCAGACACACACACACACACACACACACACACACACACACACACACGTCAGCACGCCTGCCCAATCCTTTCTCCAGTCTGGGGCACTGTGCAAGCAGCTTGTGTTAAAGTACCACAGCACCAGGCCGCCGTAAGTTCCGCTCACGTTAAGTTTGTTCTCGGAAAAGTTTGCACTCCTGGTTCATCTGTTTGCCAGCGGAAACCAGTCTCTGTGATTCTTTACCAAGGACACACTCAGTTCCTACCATTCCCTTGAACGTGAGGGTTTACCTCAAACACTAGGCAGCTGGAGTTCTCTTTCTGAAGAGGGTACTTAGACGGGACTCAGGTAACCTTCCACTTTTTACAGCCTCTGCCTCATTCTGGTGAAAACCTACTTCTAGCCTTAAACAAAGACAGCCAAAACAGTTTGTCCTAGCAGGACTGGCTCACCAGCATGCCAGAGACAAATGCTTCCTTGGCTCCCAGAGCCTGCAAAACTGAGCTGTCTGTCAAGCTTGCAGAGCTATGTGTGACTCTGCTATACCCTGCAAAGGTATGGAATGCTGACATAGGGTGAGTATGCAGTCACTCCAGGTTAAAGGGTGAGATTCTGTCTCCAAAACCCAACCAGCCAACCAGCCAAGCAGCTAATCTATCAGTCAATAAAAACCTACTTTTTGTTTACCATTGAGAAGAACATGGGCAGAGTCAAAGTCATGTCCCTGGGTCTCTTTATAGCACAGACACATTTCTGAAGCATTTTCACAAAAAGGCAAACAACTAGCTTGAAGCCTCCAGCTCCAGGGGAGAAACAACATGCAAGGTAATCAATGCAAAGCATCTACGGCCACCTCAGCACAATGGAAACCAGGAGAAGAGAAAATCTCCTGTGTCAAACAGCCTGCCTTCTCCCCTAAAACATATCCCAGTGTTGGGCTCAAATTTCTGTGATGTTTTGAAAGAAAAATCATTGAACATTCCAAAGCATTAAATCAGTTCCAAATAATCTGTGGGCCTCAAATTTGAGAACTGGCTTTGCAGTGATGCTCTGGTTTGGCTCTCACTAAGCAGCTTCCTCTCATGCCTGAGTCTCTGTCAGTAATCATCTAGAATGCAAAGCCAAGGCTGCACCATTCAATGTCAGCATCTCCAAGTCAAGGCTGGACCATTCAGTGTCAGCATCCCCACCCAAGTCAAGGCTGGACCATTCAACGTCAGCATCCCCAAAATCAAAGCTGGACCATTCAATGTCAGCATCTCCAAGTCAAAGTTAGACCATTCAATGTCAGCATCCTGAAAGTCAGGGCTGGACCATTCAATGTCAGCATCCATGATGGCTGCTGTCATTGACCCGGCACAGATCAGAAATAATTATAATGAATTTTTTAAAACTGTCTTTCCCAAGCATGTTCTGTAGGAAGTGTAGTTCAGAGGATGGCACTACAGCAACCAAATCAAAACAAGCACAGTTACTGAAGCTTTCAATAAAGGAGAGAAGCAAAGGCCCCGGTAACATGGCACATCTTTCTCTCTCTCTCTAACCACAGCATTTCCCTGTGTCTGCTCACTGGCCCAGATTCCTTCCATGCCCACTTTCCTAAACCCAGAACTATGAAAACATCTGGACTGAATCTCTGGCTTAACAAGCAGCAGAGTAAATTGGCTTACACAACATCAAACCCATTAAATGAAAAAGACTTCACCCTAAATGTGGTTGGTGAATGTGCATGTCTGAGAACACATTGAAAGGGTGTTCAGCCTTTGAAAGGGTTAGCTGAAGGAGGCAACTCTGCTCTCATGGGCAAACTTGGGGCACGTAAGAACGTTTTCTCTTGACAGAGGATCTGTGCAGTATTGTGTGCATTTCCCCAGAAGCACACCTAAGAACAAAACATGATGTATAACAGGATAGAGTTGTTTCAGGAGTCGCTGGGAAGTTATTTGCCTTCCAAATGAAATCATGTTCCTGTTTACCCAACTGAATGGAGTCATGACTTCCAGCCTGTCCTGCTTCAGACCTCCCTTCCGATGAAAACTCGCCATATTCATTGACAAGAGGTTCAGGCAGCTGACTCTCTCAGCTGGGCCCTCCTCAACACCTGCTGTAGACCGTTCTTTGAAGGGCACCTGGCCTGAGGCTGGGCAGGCAGGCAGTCCAGACCTGCTCCATTCTGTCCAGTATAGGAGGAGTTGACGAGCATGGACCACAGCCCATTCCTTACTGGCTCTTTTCTATTGCCAGTCCATCACTGCTGTGAAGGATCCAATAGACACAGCCCACTTGCTTTCTTCCCATTCAGAGAATATCCTGTCACATTTCTATGTCTCTACCTTGACAAATCTCATAGGAATAGAACCAAAGCATTAAATGCATTAATGAAGGGATGCCTTTCCATTTCTGTGCCCTTTCTTTTATGGGTCTGTCACAATGAAGTTCAATATTTTCATCACCACATGAATATCATTCCAGGGCCCATCACTGAGCATCCGTAGACTGGGATGACCAAAGGGTAGACGTGAACTCTTCACGGTGGGTGCCCATCAGGAAGCACCAGGGGATGTTTTGCTAGAAATTTATCAGAAGAGGTGTTCCCTCCAAGGACTCCTTCCTGTTCTGTAGAACATGCCTGTGTGTGTATGGGTATAAGAAGGCCAAGCAAGCAGACACACATTGCTGTGTTGATGCTATGTGTAGATGCCGACATTACCATAAACGGAGTTGGGTTTCAGAACAGCTGAGTGAGTATTCCTGTGGTTAGGAGCATTTGCTTCAAATTCTCAGAAGAAATTCAGCCAAAGGGAGAGCCAAAGAATGTTTCTCAGCTGGGACCAATTGGTGATGGAAGCAAATGGGTTCACTGACTTCAAAGGCCAAAGAGACTTAGTAAACTGAAGTGGTTAATCCCCCAAACAGGGATGGGTGTTTCAAACTTCAAAATGAAGGCATGCAAGAATTATGATGGTCAATCAATGTAATGCCTCATTATTGTGTGTTTATGAATCACAGCATAGAAGAAGCACACAATCATTGGTGGTGGAGAGTATTAGTAAGGCAAGCTGTGTGACACTATCAAAGGAATGATCACAGCCGTGAAGACTAGATTCCTGACACTCGCTGGGACTGGGCTGGGGTGGTTTGAGTAAGAATGGCCCCATAGGCTCATGTATTTGGATGCTTAGTCATCAGGGAGTAGCACTGTTGGAGAAGGATTCGGGGTGTGGCCTTACTGTAGTAGGCGTGGCCTTGATGGAGGAAGCGCGTCGCTGGAGTGAGCTTTGCGTTTTCAGAAGCTCATGCTAGGCCCAGTTTTTCCCCCTCCCTCTTCTTGCTGACCAAGATGTAGCTCTCAGCCACTGCTCCAGCCCACGAGTGCCACTACGCACCATGTCCCCGCCACGCCCCTGTGTGATGACAATGGACTAAGCCATAAGCAAGCCCCCAATTAAATGCTTTGTTTTATAAGTGTCACCTTGGACATGGGAACTCTTCCCAGCGGTAGAACACTGTCTAAGACTAGCTTACACCTTCATCTAGGAAGGGAGAGAACATTGAGTACCTTGACTTTGGCCGTGCATCCTGAAAGTCGAAAGATTCCTTCTGATTCCAGGCCTGATTCCTCGACTTTCTGAAAGAACTAGAAATCAATAATGAATTATAAAATCGAACATCTATGTATCAGTGCAAACATTCTAAACAATGAGGGAAAAAGTCAACAGATTGATAAGTACATATATATATATGTATATATTATGAATGTACATATATATGTATATATACATATACATACATATATACATATGTATATATTATGTACATATATATATGTATATATTATGAATGATTTCTGGAATTCTAAAGACCATTCAACAATGTCAACATTCCCAATGAGTGAATTCTCCATTTAGATCTATGCCATAACTTCTCCACATTACTTCCTAACTAAAGCATTGACTCTACAGGGTTTATCCTCTTATTTATTATGCTAGTTTGCTAACTTGACTCTTTCAAATCTGATCATTATTTCTCTTCTGCAGACCAACCAACAGGAGAAATACTAAGTCAACTGCATCTACAGCCACACTACCCTTGGTGCCCTCAGTCTCTTCTAAATCTACTCTCATTAGTTGCAAAGACTGTGACTAAGAACTTGAAGAATTCTAGAAGACTAACCAATAACTTGGAAATGTAAGTTAACTGCCCTTTTACATTTTCGTGATGGTGGTGGTGGTGGTGGTAACAATGGTGATGATGTCAATTGTGATGACAAAGTGGTGGTGGTGATGGTAGTGATGGTGATGGTGGTGGTGATGGTGATGGTAGTGATGGTGATGGTGGTGCTGCTGATGGTGGTGGTGATGGTGTTGGTGGTGGTGATGAGCTTTAATAGTAGTTTCCACTTCCTGAAGTCAAACCCTGTTCTCAGAGCTTTGCACACACTCACACACTCAACACTGACCTGTAGTACTATTATCCCCGTGCTGAGAAGGCTGAGGCACGTGCAGGTAACATTTCTAAGTTCAGAAGGTGAAAGGAAGCTGCAAGGCTTGGGTTACAATAGTCATTCAGGGATGGGGAGAGAAGGCGTATGAGTTTATGAGTCTAAGAAGAGCCTTCAGACACACAGCACCTCCTCAAATCACCTTGAGTGAGGCCACATCATAGCAGTCAGAACGGCTGCTGTTCACTGGGATGAGAATGTGATCTAAAGCTACAGTTAACAGCATTTATCGAGCACTCACATCTAATGCTAGTCCCAAGTTCTCTGCTGGCTTTCTGCCACTGTGTCATCAAACTTAGGCTGAATTCTTGTCATGGGTTTTTCAAGACTGTTTCCTTCAAAGCCCACCGTAGGAGAAAGCACAGCGTTCGGGGAAATGGCACTTGGTACTTGCTATGTCCCCATCCCACTGTGCCTCTTAAGTTACCTCATCCCTCGTCTGCCCCAGCTGCCTTGTTAGCAAGGCGGAGATAAAACGGCCCCTTGGGCTGCCCCATGCTGACTCTACAGGGTATGACGTCATTGGTACAATGCTTCCCCTGGGGAGCCTCCCCACAGATGGCCACTGTGCACAGAGATGACACACGGTCTTCCGGCCCTCACTGCTACCCTTCCTGCTCCATCACTGGCCAATTAATCACCCAGAGCCAAATGCAAGAAGGAAGAGAGAGGGTATGGAATTGTTAGCTTGAGTGGAGTAGCTGTGTCTCCTCCGTCAGGGTTTTCATGTATCATTTACAAACAACTTAAAACTGTCTGTGGTAAAGGCTGGGGTTTTAATTGTGCCACTGGGTGTCACTGTTGAGTGTCTACCTGAGTAAACATGTTTCCGTTGCTGCCTGTGGGGCTGGAGGGACAGATCATGGCTAAGAGCATGCACCACTCATGCAGAGGACCCCAGTTCTGTTCCCAGCATCCTTACAGCAGATCTGACTCCCTCTTCTCACCTAAGGAACTCACACATAAACCTTATTTTAAATAAATTAAACCAGTTATTTAGCAACCACAGAGATGTCTGGATATAGCAGTTGAGATATCATTAAAATAATATAAAATAACCTTTCACAAAATTTTTCTGTCCTGACTATTTAGTGGGTATAGTGAGCTCAAAAGTTCATTAAATGATTGCGCACAGGAGGGTATCATGTACACCCACGTACACACACACACACACACACACACACACACACACACACACACTTGAACAACTTAGCTTTTGATTCATGTCAGAAACCGCGGGTATATTCATCAAACAGGTCGTTAATAGTCTATAAACATGATAATCAAAAGTACATGTCAAGAGCCAGGCATAGTGGTGTACCCCTTTGATCCCAGCACTCAGGAGGCAGAGGCAGGAGGATCTCTATGAGTTCTAGGTCTACACAGTGAGTTCTAGGACAGCCAGGCATGGGGGGGACCGTGGTGGATCCCATGGCAGAGGAGAGACAAATACGCCATGCAGGCAGAACTTACTTGGGAAGTTTACTGGGGGAAGGGAAGGGAGAGAGAACAGAGACAGACAGACAGACAGAAACCTGTCTCCTCAGAGAAACAGTGGAAAGAGAGAAAGTGGGTGGAGCTTGTCTTTTAAAGGGATCTTTTGTGGCTGCATACACAGCCGGGGTACTGCTTGCCAGGCCCAGAGGGGTGACGCATTCTGCCAGGTCCCCAAGGGGCAGAGCCAAAGTGTGCCTGGATGCTAACACCCTGCCTTGAGAGGAAAAAAAATAGATGTAAACACATGCGTATACACAAGCAACATCTGAAGATCACCAGAAGACAGAACACTCGTGTCTTCCCAGACATCCTATGGCGGAGCAATTGCAAGGGCTCCCGCATGCAGCAAACCCTCCTGAGGTGTAAGCGGCTCGTCCTGTCCCTCAAGAGTCACATGTCTGAAGTGTGGACCTCTGTGACAAGAGATGGTGCCCACGGGGAGCGCTTTCCTGTGCCCTCCTCATTCACTGACTTCCCATCTGACAATGCGAATGCTTTCTCTCACACATGTTCCTGGCACTGGGTTGACATCTGCCACGAGGCGGTATGGCGTAGGTGGCTGTCACCGAGTGACACTAGACCGTTCGGGAACTCAGCCTTCCTAGTCGTGGTCTAAACCACTCACTTCCTAGTGAGTACCGCGAGTGTCGTGTCGGGCATTTTACTACAGTAAAGGAAAGTGGATTAATGGAAAGGGCAAATGGTCTACATGCCTGCGGGGCAACGTGAGCACGCTTGGGCTAAACCCACAAGAGCCCCACTCTTTAGAAGACACCCGGTGAGGTCATCGCCCCCCATTCCTTTGCAGGTGACTCACTTTCTGTAATACAAGGGGGACTTTCACTTCAGGGTCCTTCTTCCGGTCGTTGTCCAGGAGGACCGTAAGTGGCACGCCAAAAATCCCGCTGTCTGCAGGGAGGAAGAAAAGGCAGGGGTCAGAACAAGTCCCCGCGGCCCAGGGCCAGCCTGAGGCCGCCGCCTGGCTCTCCAGCTACCTCGGCCCCTGCCTCTCTCCGTTTTGTTTCTTTTCAGTTGTATCCCGAAAGCATCGAAGAAGGCCGTCAGTTCAATCAGAGAGAGGTGGCGGATTTTCTTCATGTCTTCGGCAGACAGGTCCCCTGTTTCGGTCCACCCAAATCTGGTTTTCTGAACAATAAATTTCTGAAATACACGGTGGAGACATTCGTTTTTTTTGTTAAAATCAAGTGAAATCAGGGCACCCTAACTCTGCACGATAAAACCTACTGGGGGGTTACTCGGAGGAGCATCCTGGGCTACGGAAGGAGTGAGTGTGTGTTAACAAAGCAGGGAGGTAGCTTCCAGGCTATTAGAAGCCACGCTGGAGCCTGGACGGCAGGACAGCTTGGCTACCAAGGCTGGGACAACAGTGGCCACAGCCACCTCTTCCTCCCTGCCCATCTTCCTGCACCTGTGTGTATGAGCACATTTATGTGTGTAAGCGTGGGCATGCATGTCACAGCAGGCATGTGGTGGTCAGCTGTCCGTCCTTGCCGTCGTCCACCCTCCTTGAGACAGGGTCTCTAACTGTTGGCTGCTGAGAACGCCAGGCTAGTCGGTCCTCTGCCTCTCATCTGACCACAGGAACCCTGGGATTACAGATGAGCTCTGCTGTGCCCATCTTCACATGGGTATTGCAGGTTCAGACTCAGTCATCACGCTTGCGTGGCAAGTGGCTCTGACCACTGAGCCACCCCCCAACCCAGCCACTGCCTTCCTATACGTACTGTACACACTACGGTCCTGAAATCTGGTTTACATGCGGTACCTACACACAAAGCAACATGTCTAAGCATATCCCAGGAGACACGGAGTGCTGGTGCCCGGCATCCCCAACTCCATCATGCATACACAGGGACAGAAAACAGCCCTCATACTGACACCTCAGGAAGTCATCTCGGGAAGTCATTAGACTGATCGCAGGATGGTTCACTCACAGTCAAGGAACACTCTTCTTTCTTAATGTCTGACTTCTTCCATTTATTTCTGTTCGGGGCTTCTGTCACCATTTCTGAGTAAGACACCTCAAAAGATAGCTCTTCAGCTTCGGGTGGAATGTTCTTTTCTAGATAATCACCATCTAAACAACAAAATAAGCGACAAGAAATATAGTGCGGCATCAAACCAGTCAATGCTACTGGCTGCAAAATAAACTACCAGTACTTACAAGGGACATCTCTCCCTCCCCAGGAATGCTGGGATATGGAAACCTAGGGGACAGAGCCTGGCTCCCAGAGTAGTTGTTCACTTAGTCAGTGACAAGGGTCACTGGCCTTCCCATGGACACATTTCTACCAGCATCCAAACACAACTAACTGTCCAATCTAATGTTTTAAACTTTCACGTGCTCTGTAAGTTTTTGAGGAGTAGAGGCAAAGCCCTCAATAGAGCTGTTCTCTGTATTCTTCTGACATTAAAAGTGTCATCTAGATCAGGCATTACTTACTGGGGACCCAGAACTTAGAGGGGGGAGGACGGAATCTCCCTAAAACTCCCCTATACTTTCACAAGCACAAAGTTTCACTGTTTAAGATTATCCAGCGTGGGCCTCTCCGCTGGGTGTGTAGGGGTCATTCTGAATTTCCATAATTCCATGTTAGTCTACCCTCTCTCAATGCACATAAAAAGTACCTAACTGGATTAACAGTGACAGGAATGTCCCACATGGGCTGAAAATTAAGGCAGATGATTTCTTGGTTCAACTCTGACTTCTGAGTAAGATTTCTCTGCCTGGGGAACGTTTTTATGTGCATAGTAAGGGATTGTTTGATTAAAAACAGGACACTTTTTCTTTGCTTTCTTTTTAGGACCCTGACTAAAGGTCAAGGTGATCAAAATGACAAAAGGCGGAATTAATCAGTAAGATTAATAAGAGACCGGGTTGCTTTTTACATTAAAAGCTGGGAGGAGACCTTACACATTGACTATAGATTCTCCATTAACAGACTACAGATTCTCCAAGCCACTGGGCCACTGCATATGGGCATCTGTCCCTGATGGCAGCATTTCTGGCAAGTCTCCTCTTGGTTATTTTACTTTAGTATCAACATTAGTGAAAAACAATTTGCTTGTCAGGCAGCTCATCATTTGATGTATGAAGTCAACGGATTTTAACACCACAGCTAGGCAACTATAATCTTGGTCAATTCTAGAACACTTTTCATCAAGTCCACTTTGTATTTGGATGAGAATGGTCAAAGCACAGACTGCGTTTCTCTGAGAGGAGAGTGCACATTTTTCAAAAGACAGGAATCCAGTGTCAGGGCCTTGGGGGACAGCCTTGGGGCAGGAGGGTCCCAAATCTGAGTTTCTCAAGCGGCAGAAGGCTTGTGTGTCAGAAGCAGCTCCGGGTCAACTCATATACCAGGAACTTTGGATGCGGCTGCTCCTTAGCCTCCTTGTAGCATCTGGCTACATCGTGCCACTTAGGGGAAGGCCTAACTCGACACCACTGCCTGCTTCACGTGTTAGAAGTGAAGGAAAACTTCACCCAGCTGGGTTAGCATGGTCCGTTACAACAAAATGGGTTGTTTGGAGGTAAGGGGTGGGGTTCTGGAAGCTACAGAATCATAACACACATCTTGCTGGGTGGAGAGAGACTTATCGGTGAGCACTGGGTCACAGTGAGATAAGAACTAGAAAGTTCTGAGGTGCTATAGCCCAGCATGGTGTCTGTGTTGTGCCCTGTGACAGAGCTCACATGGAGGGTTTTGTTTTGTTTTTAATTAGGAGAAAGGGAATGGGAAAGGGGAGAGGGTGGGGAGACCAGCCTCTGGGAACAGAAGTGGAAGAGAGAAAGAGAGGCCGTGGGAGGGGGGCATTGACAGAGAGACAGGCAGAGAAGCAGAGAGAAAGGAACAGACAGAGAGAAAAATGGGAGGTGGGCAGGGCCCTTTTAAAAGGGAACGTAGTGAATGTGCACGGGTGGTGCTCTTAGTGGCTGCAGCTGAGATCCTGTCAGAACCCCAAGGACAGGCCAGTACAGATGCCTGAATGCTAACAGAAGGGACATAACAATAAAGTGTTACACGTTTCAAAAACCTGCAAGAAAGGAACTTGGACGCTTTTAAAAAGCAGAAATGCCATGTGTTTAGGAGTCGGATAAGTTCAGCCTGATACTGACGTTAGCCAATGTATGTATGCCTCAAACCTCATCACAGGCACCCCAGCAAGAAGTCCTGTGTGCGCATTTACAGTGTAACACAGTCAATGTTAAGAGTCAACGTATTAAATAATAATAATAAAAAAGAAACTCACTGCTAACTGCACCGAGGGCCAGACCCCAAAGGAGAAAGTACAGCAGGGACATGCCAGGGGACATGCCACTCACCACTCAAGGCGCTCGGGACTGACGATTCAGCCTCCGCAGACCCATTGGTGTGAATAGGGACACCTGGCATAACCTCAAGCAGTGACTGCCGAGCAAGGAAAGAGACAAAAAGCACTTAGCACAAATACAGACACACTTCTGACAACTCTTCCCTCACATTGTTTGTTATAAGCCTACCTAGTGACAGCAGAGCCCTTTCTAGCCTTACCCTTCATCTCAATTGGGTGTATGTTTTGCAAAATATGAATTTTTTTTTTTAAACAAATATACTTCTTGGTCTCACAAATGGCTTGCAGTGACAACAGTTGTTTCTATAGTTGGTTTAGACGCACGTGGCTCACCCAAGTTTCTCAGAGAACTATGCTGAAGTGCTCATAACTAACTCCGCCTTCTTAGCTCATATAATTTAGCTGCATCTGCTAAGATATATAAAAACCAGAATGCTGGATGATATGTATTTGATAATTGCCACCTGCTAATCCGGTACATTCTGCTTAGCTACATCAGGTTATATTGCTAATATTAACATATTAACTCTTGTATTGTAAGGTATGGATTAATAACGACTAACAAAAAAAGTTAATCATCTTTCAAGAAGTGGTGGGTACCTGACTGTAATCTCGGCACTCAGGAGGCAAGGCAGCAGGTGAAGTTACAGGCAAGCGTGGTCAACATAGTGTGTTCTGGGCTACCCTGGTCTACATAGAGGGTTCTAGACCTGGTCTACATAGTGGATTCCAGAGTAACCTGCTTTACACAGAAAGATCCTGCCTCAAAAAGAACACACAAACAACAACAACAATGAAACTCTAAAATAGTAAGTTATCTTTTATGTTCCAACTTCCTTTCTTAATTTGGCTCCTTCCCCACGAGGAAGTCTTGCCACAGCTCTGGCCCCTCTCCCATCAGAAGCTGAGTAACCCTCCTTACAGAGTTCTGGAAAGTGAGTTTCTGCTCATGTCTGGGAGGGTACCAGACCAAAAAAAAAAAAAAAAAGTGTGACTTCAAGAAACTGCCATTGTATCAAGAACCTTTAATACGCTATGAGCATACAAAATCCGTCCTTTTCCCCAAAGACTGCAATGCTGGGTCTTTTTATTCTCATATTTATTCAGCAATCACTGGACACCTGCTTCATGAAAGAGCCTTTATCATACTCTGCAGATTGCATGGGCGTGTGCGTGTGCGTGCGTGCGCATGCGTGTGTGCGTGCGTGCGTGTGTGTGCCTGCGCGTGTGTGCGTGTGCGTGCGCGTGCGTGCATGCGTGCATGTGCGTGTGTGCATGTGTGTGTGTGCGTGTGCGTGTGTGTGCGTGCGTGTGGGCGTGTGTGTGCATGTGTGTGGGCGTGTGTGTGCATGTGTGTGGGCGTGTGTGTGCATGTGTGTGTGCGCGTGTGCGTGCGTGTGTGCGTGCGTGCATGTGTGCGTGCGTGTGGGTGTGTGTGTGTGTTCATGTGTGTGCGTGTGCGTGCGTGTGTGTGCGTGTGTGTGCATGCGCGTGTGTGCATGCGCATGTGTGTGCGTGCATGCGTGTGTGTGCATGCGTGCGTGTGTGCGTGCGTGTGCGTGCGTGTGCACGTGCGTGCATGTGTGTGTGCGTGTGTGCGTGTGGGCATGTGTGTGTGTGCGTGCGTGTGTGTGTGCGTGTGTGTGTCTCAGCCTCATGCCTGTTTATATTTCAGATGAGATTTTAAATCTCTTAATCGTATAAATCACGTGCAAGTAGACGGCTGACCGTTGAAATGCAGATGCCTGTACACTGCAATTTCTAGACGAAAAGACAGAGGCCAAGGGTTACAAAAACCAAACACCACAGCATGTACAGCCACGGCTATAGTTTTGATATGACCTTCTTCCAAACCCCCATGTCCGATCTTCCAAGTAGCATTGTTGGCAGGCGCTGGACTCTAGTGGAATGTCCTGGCTCGCTAGGGGACTTACACTCAAGCGAGTTGAACAAAGCAAGGGGACAGTCTTCTGCCACTGTAAGGAAATCAGGGTGTGACTACTGTAACCCACCAGCCCCACCCGCGATCCTCAGGCAAGGAGCAGCTCCTGGGATTCTTGCAGATATCAAAAGTGATGGATTGTCCTCACAAAGCAGGATAGAATTTGCATCTGGCCTATGCACACCTTCCTGAAGACTTTAGACCACCTGCCACTGTGCAGGGTGTCAGGCTTACGTGAAGAGCTGTTACACTGTACTGCTCAGAAAAGTATAGCAAGAAAGAACCACCTGCACGCATTCACTACAGGTACAGTTCAAACATCTCCCATCTGCAGCTGGTGGTGGGAGACATTTCAATAAACACTGGACGATCATCTGATGGAATTCAACTTACAGCCCACAGTAACGCAATTATGAGGCTTAGAAATCCAAAACAAATATTCTGCACGATCATGAAACATTAGAAGAAAAGTCCCAATGAGTTCTCCGAGTTCATTCAGAAGAAATGATTTCTCGGAAGAAAAAGGAAGACTTGCAGGTGAACGTCACTCTAGCGGACTTCAAAGATGGAGGGGATAGCTTGTGGTCGTTTCAAACACAGAAAACAATAAAGATTTGGGCGAAAGGGGAGAAGACCACTCTTTCAGGAAAGTTAACACCAGGCCTCCTTATACCACTTCACAAAATAAATTCCAATGGGTGAGTTGTTGAGGTCTCCCCTGAAACAAAACCTCGGGGTCTTGGTGCACAAAACCCTACAGACATCCAAGACTTCAGCTGCTGCGGATGGAGTCACCTCTGAAAAGTCAGAGACTTCAACATGCTCTCACCCATGTTTTAGAAGCCCTGCCCTAGACAGACTCTAGCTGCTGATCCACAGCTTCTTATAACGCAGAGCCATGAGACTCTGATTTACAAACACAATCATGTACTTAAGTAGAGCTCCCTTTAAACTCAGATAATTTAATATCGTTTTTGTGATGCTGGGGTTTGAACCTAGGATCTCATGGATGCCAGGCCAGTGTTCTACCTCTGAGCTATTTTACTATTTACTACTCTAGCCTTTTTATTATTTAATATTCATTGTTGTTGTGGGCATGTGTATGAGAGGGCGATGCATGTTTGTTCATGAGTGTATATAAACATGAGGTCAGCCTTGGCTAACTGCTCCTCGGGAGCCTTCCACCTTGTGTTTTGAGACCTTGGCTCTCACTGGGACTGGGGGCTCACAGATTAGGCTAAACTGGTGGCTAGTGAGAACCAGACAGCTGCCTGTCTGTGACAACCTGAGGTGACCAGCGGGAGCCACCACATCTGGATTCTTAGGTGGGCGCTGGTACTAGGTGGTCCCTGTGCTCACACTGCGAATACTTCCAGCATCTCTTCAGACCACATTTGAACATTTTTTGGCATTAAGTTGTTCAGGCTGGTCTTGGATTTGTTAGCCCCCTGATTTGGCCTCTCACGTAGCCGAGAGCACAAGCCTGTCCCACCAGACTTGGAGAAAGGAAGATGGCATCCATTCCTTAGTTTGAAGTATCCGCCCAAGTTATTGGAGGGCTGGTGGGTCAGCAGGAGCTATTTATTTGCAATATTCCTTCAAGTTTTCTTAATTTGTCTTGTAGAACAAATCGCTCTTCTTGCCTTTTGACATTGTTGTCTACACACGCAATTGTGTTGACGTCAAAACTTACCACGGAGGCACTGTGGAGGTCCACAAAACCACCCTCTTCATCCTGGACACCATTGGATAGGCTGGTACTGTTGAGAGAGGCATCATCTGGCTACAAGGACACAGAAAAGAACCATTCTTACTCCAGATTTATTTTCCAGTGTGTTTGTGCATTGCACAAGGAGATGTGTGTGACCCATGTGAGGTTACGGAAGTCTGGGCACGGACAGCTGTGTGTGTATGGCCATTGGCGCTCACCACTGTGAGACCCTGAATGCTAAGTCCTCTGGCCGATACTGGGTTCTGCAGCAGACACGGCTACCACATGCCACATACCCTAGTTGCCTCAATAGTACCTTGGTTTATTTCATTTTCAAGCTCATGAGACGCTAAGAGAGATCATGGCACACATGTGAGCAACAAGGTATAAGTGTGATCTTACCCAAAGTGTTTCTGGGAAAACGAAGGCTTTCCTGATCAATATGTATAGGATCAAAATCAAATTATGTATGTATCTATGTATGTATGTATGTATGTATGTATGTGTGTACGCAATCCCAACCTGCCTGTGACAAGAATAGAGATGACAGTATGAAGCTGCCAAGTGCTGTGTGCAGGTAAGAACGATGGGTAAAACTAAGGACCAAGGACTAAGAGTAGACATGAGAATGAAATCTGGCTATGCCCATTGTCTATACTGTCGGACCTGAGCTTCTCATGTGCAGTCTGGAAGTCAATGAAAACCACCTTGGTTTCTGCCACCACCTGGAAATTGTATCATCATCATCATCATCATCATCATCATCATTATTATTATTTTGGTTTTTTTTGGTTTTGGTTTTTGTTGCTGTTGTTTTGTGGAACTCACCAGCAATGGTACCACACATATTTTTATTTTTCATTGATAAAGCTAGAAAAAAAAAGGGAGATTTGAAATTTTTTTATAGAGTGTGCAATAATGACTGAAGATGTGAATTTCCTTGACTGAAGAAAACATAAAATTGAATATATTTGGGAACTATAAAAACCAGAACATTGTCTTTTAAAACCCCATTCTTCATTTCACTTGATCAGCACTTGGTGGGTAGAGCAGAAAGATAAAGAGTCCAAGCTCACTCTTAACTACATAGAGAGTTTGAAGCTAGCCTGGGCTACATGAGACCTTGGTGCTCATGAATAAATAAGTAAATAAACAAATCAGGTGATGGATGGAAGATATACAGACATATGGATAGATAGATGATATAGATCTATCGATATCTCTATATGTGTTCCATCACTTTCCTTTGTGCCGAGTGCGAGCCCGCCTCTGCATAAGTGAAAATCCACGGCCCTCCCTCCCTCCAGCATTTCCTAATTCCACTGTGCCGCTCCTCCCCATGCTTCAGATCTGTCATCTGTTCACGTGTAAGCTCTCCACCCAGCTCTTAAGGTAAAAGCAAGCGGATCTCATTAATCTTACTGATTAATTCCACTTTTTGTCATTTTGACCTCCCTGACCTTTAGTCAGGGTCCTGAGAAGAAAGCAAACAAAAAGTGTCCTGTTTATAATCTAATAGTTCCTTACTGTGCACATAAAAACACTCGCCAGGCAGAGAAACAAGGTGTCGTGTCAAAATCTTACTCAGAAGCCAGAGTTGGACAAATGGTCTGAACCAAGGAATCATTTGCCTTAATTTGCAGCCTAGCTTTAGAAAAGTACCAGTGTGGGAGGAGAGAGAGAGACAGACAGAGAGACAGAGACAGAGAGACAGACAGAGACAGAGAGAGAGACAGAGAGAGGCAGAGATAGAGACAGAGAGAGAGTGCAGAATGCTTTAAAGAAAGAAATGGAACTCAAGGACGGGCCCAAGAAAGCTAACCAAGGAGGCCAGCTAACAACCATCCACCTCTCCTCCAAATCACTATAAATGGCAGGTTTTACAGGGAACCAATTCCCATGCCCTGGAATTCAGCAAAGAATCCCACAGGAGGAGAACTGACAGCCACTGCCAGACGAAAAGCAAACAGCAAGAGACGTAACTCCTCTTAACGTGGCATAAGAAGGCTGGAAAGATGGATTAGTGGTTAAGAACACTGGCTGCTCATCCAGAGGACCTCAGTTTAATTCCCAACGCCCATGAAGTGGCTCATAACCATGTATAACTCCAGTCCCGAGGAATCTGATAAAACATCTACACGGTACACACACACACACACACACACACACACACACACTTGTAGCATAAGGGAGAATCGCTTGGAAAAGATTAGAAAAAAACAAGCTAGTAATAAGGAATGAACAAAGTAGGGGCAGATGCAAGCAAGTATTTAAAAATGGTTGAAAACACAGACACCAGGCTGACTTCTCCCCTAAATCTGAGCAGTAGTTAAATATAGCCCTAGGAAAATAGAATGCATATTATCTAAATAAAATAGACTAAGAACCTTGAGGGTGCAAGGGCTACTGGCTCAAAAGAGAAAGAAGGTGCCACGGGGAAAGGCGAGAGAGTAAACCAGTGACCTAGCTTTACAGAAAGTAAGGCAGCATCGATTATCCTCTCTCTGATTTTGTATGGAGGGTGGTGTGCCTTAAATCCAAGTGCTACAAACACAGAAACAATTCTGCCTCTGGGGAAACGAAATCTATAGAGGAAACATACAATTTCCTACATGAATCAATAAAAAAAAAAAAATCATTAAGTTCAGCTGTACCAAAGACTGCATAGAAGCAGTAAATTCACAGCCATGAGTGCTGAGCTCTCCCTTTGGGGATATGTGTGTGGCTGTTTCCCTTTGCTGTGGGGCGGTCTGGGAAGCAGAACGAAAGCCACCCAGGGACCAGAGGCTAGACCAGAGATACTCCAATCACTGGAAGCTCGAGTTCAGGACTCTAGCTGCCGCCCAGCAGGAGTGCTCCAGCTCCCTCACCAGAAGGTGCTCGCTCACCCAGGGGTAGATCCCTCTCTGCACCACCGAGCACACCTCTTCACTGAAGTTAGTATGCTCTCCGCGTAAAATATTTACCTTTGGAAAGTATGGGGAAAACACTAAATATTTATACCTTAGACACTGAAGATACTGAAAATATCACACGGTAGCCAGTTATTTATTGTCTCATGTGAGCTCGCCCACAAGCACCAAGAGCTAGCTGACGGCATCCTCTACACAGGGTATACATGAAGAGCGATTCTGCTTGTTATTTCTGACTGTAGCGTTTTTTGAAAACAGAATTTCGCTCTCTTGGGTGTTACCTATGCAATTCTTCCTGGCTGAGAGCAGCGAGCGGTGTGTGCTGACGAGGAGTGTGGTTAGTACTTGGCAACAATCTGAATCGAGTGGGCTCTTTGCTCACGAGAAATGCGAATGCACACCCTGGAGCTGCAGGGTGCTCATGGCTGCGTTACTCACAGTAGCCCAAACTGTAAGTGATCCAGATATCCACCCCTACGCAAAGAGATATGGCAACGGGAGGCACAATTATGAAATGGAATATTACCTTCTAGAAGACTGTAAGTAAAGATCTGTAGATCTTAAGATTATGTTTGAAAGAAAGCAAATGCTAAAGCAGTCTTGCATTTAAAAATTCTCCGTAAATGGAGGCGAAAAAGGGCAAAGGTGATGGAAGGTACAACACGGTTTGCCTCTGAAGCAAAGATGGGCCGGCCGGCGGGCCGCTCACAAGAACGGGGGAGCATGCCGTGGCGATGGCCATCTTCTACGCTTTCATAGACTGTGATTTTTCCGGGGAGCACATATGTTAAAACCAGCTGAATGACACACCTGAAGTGTGGTGTGTTATTTGTAAATTATGCCCCAGTTTCGAGAAGGTGTAAAAACAACTTGTATTCTCAAAGTTTTAAGCGGCCACTTTGGCTGAGAACATATCGGTACATGAATTTAAAAAGAAGTTTCTCTTAGGAAATAAGAATATGTTTTCTGAAATACATGCAGGGTCAGGAAGCTAAATAATCATACAACTATAACCAGGAAAGAGTGTAATAATTTGAAACACAATGTTGAAAAAGTTTAGAATACATGACAGAGAGAGTAACATAAAAACTTAGCAAACAGCAAAAAATGATTCAAACAAAAGCAACCATCGTGCAAGTTCTGTTGTAGAGAGATGGGCCACAGGAATTGAGAAGAAAAGTTAATCCAAGATGCAACGGAAGAAAATCTCTAGAAACCGAAGAGAGAGGAGAAAGCTCAGAATCCAGAATAAATTAAAGATTCATAGCATTCAAGAACTAAAAAGTTTAAATAAGAAACCCAGATAACTTATTTTTAAGGGACTAAGGTCTAAGCAATCAAGAGGAAAACATCCTCTCAACTTAGTAAGGGTATTACAGGCTGACCATGGAAAACAAGAGAAATGCCAGGAAAAGTGAGGATTTATGTTGAAGCCGACCAGCCAGCCAGGTGGCTGATGCTCCTGGGGAACATCAGCTTGGTTTCCTAACCACAGGGTTGGGACAGAGGCATCATGAAGAGGAAGTCAGTCCCCATAGTAAAGTCACCATTGTGCAACTGTACCGGCTTTGATTTTTTTTTCTTTCATCATCAGTCTCTTAATCTGTGATTAAAACAAACTCCTACTTGTTTAAATCAAGGTTCCTCAGATTTCCTTTCACAGGAAACACACACAGATGCAACCGATGACTCTCAACAGATGGCATGATTGTATTTTGCAGTGAGTTATAAATCAATGGCAAGTGTTGGATTTGATTTTTCACTTAAAACATTGGCAGTAAACTAGATTGACTACTTTGCCTTTTCAACAGACGAACATCTCCAGTGAATATTTCATCTGTGTTGACTGAACATAAGAAAAATGACTTCTTTTATCTCTATGAGAAGTGATTGGTAGACTAAGATTTTCATGACAGCAGTTGGATTATAAATCTTTGTAAGTACCAAACTTAGTGCCATTTGTCACCCAGAGTCAAAGATCAGCCATGTGCAATGTATGAACAGCCATTCGTGCACACACTGTAAGCAACGTACTGAAGAGTAAACATCATTTGCGTTATTACTGAAACTGTAAGACTTGCTATGGACTTGACTGTAACCAGGTGGTTGAGATGGAGCTGATTAGTAATTATCTGCAAAACTAAACTAAAAAATAGGGTATGTATTAAGCATATGCCTTAAGGAAATTAACAAATTTTGAACAAAACTTAAATCTTATAAGATTAGTTAATACAAACGCCACCAGCATCCCCCAAATATGCTCATTTTGAGGGATCTATGTCCTTTGGGGAAATCTATCCTTCCCTACTTTCTCTATCTTAATTCCCCAGGAAGTCACCAATGGTCTCTCCATCACTGTGGGTTACCTCATATTGCTCGTGTTTTTACATAAATTGAATGTTTTTCCTGGCTTTCTTTCCCGTGGTTTTAGTTTGAGACCCCATCCATGCCATGGATGTGCTACAAGTGGAAACAGATTTGAGATGAAGCTCCAGGGAGCCATGAATGGAGCCACAGTTCCCTGGCTTCCGGGAACGGGGGACCTGGCCGTTGTCCTACCCTCACTTGGCTCTTCCCTCTTGGGTGTGAGCGGACAGCAGGCGTGATTGCAGCGGGGAACGAGGAAACAAAAAGGAAATCCAGGCACAGTTACTGAGCTACGCGTCTGTCTTTACAGAACATGCACTCAGTTATAGGTTTACCTATTAAACACGGCTCATTTGCTGCCGATCATTTTTCTTAGAAATCGATGATGCTACTGGATGAGGCTGTGCAACCACCTGGCTCACACTACACTGTTGTGCATGACCGTCTTAAAGGAACGGCTTCTTCCTTATCCCCGTACATCTTTCCATAACTTACCAGAGGGCCACTGGGTTTGGTAACTCCTGGAAGCTCCTTTTCTTCCTTGGCATCATCCAACTGAGCAGCATGGTCACAAGAATCACTAGGCTAAGGAAAACAAGCGGAAGTCATTTCTCTCCAGCTCGGCGCTGCAAACCTGCCCATATTTCATTATGCATTACAGCAGAGCTCATACCCGTACGTGTGGTTTACAAAATTACACAAAGACACACAGCTGCTTGCGTGTCAGTACAGTACTTACCAATTAATCCACAATCGCACTATAACAGAATTTGTCTCAAAGCCAGACATGGTTAGCTGCCCGCCTACATCCTCTTTTCTTCCCCGAGTGTATGAATAACGTGATTTCACTCTACAGCACTACGTGTCCAACTAAAGACTAAGTGTTACCTGTGATGATCACATGCAGCTGGGAGAATGCTCTGGGGTGCCCCATGAGCACTACGCATTCACCTCCATGCTGAGGGGAGCAGAGTGGAAATGTGAGAGTTGGCGGATTCATGCCTGGCTGTCACGTCAGCACTGACCTTTCAACCTCAAGCCTCATAGCGCAGGGTTAGCCTTTACCCTCTAAGGACACAGCTGCCTGAAGAAAACACGCTGCTTTAAGACTGGGCTCACAGAAATTATTTCATATTTGTCTTTCTGAGTCTGGACTATTTCATAGAACAGCACAATCTTCATCTTCCATCTGTTTCCTGTAAAGGACACACTTTTATGTCTTTATGGCTGAATGCCACCTCAATGTATTGAGTAATAGACAAATAAATAACTGAACTTGTGCCTTCATTCCACAATGGTTTATAGGTTCATGTTAAGGAGGCGAGTCTCTCTCTCTCTCTCTATTCAATTAAGAAATCGTTATTAGACTGAGGGCTTCATTAACTCGCAGTACTGAACCAACTATTTCAGCCCCACCCACTGAGTCCTGGGAACTCTGGTTTTCAGCATGTGTGAAGTGTGCTGGGAGCCAAGGTTTGTGATGGACACAGTCATACACCTCTCATATAGCCATTAAGACTTAGCAGCGTTTCTCACAAAGGCTCCATGCCAGGAAGATTCAAAAATATATATTCTATGGTTGAATCAACTTCCTGAAACATTAAACATACTAGACAGACATCATGGAAATCTTAAGCCATTCCATGAGATCTTAGGAACCGCCATTTGCATAAGCTTCCTCCAAGGTGCACAAAGTAGTTGAATAGGAAAAGCACTCACTGCTTTGTAAATGGAAACTCTGGCGAAGCAGCAACACAGGGAGCTCTGGTCAGGATGGAGAGTGAGCACACACTCACACACACACATATACACGCATGCACACATACACACCACACACGTGTGCACACAGACACACATGCATGTGCACATGCACACACATATACACATACACACGCACACCACACACACACATATACACACGTGCACACACATACACACACACCACACGTGTGCACACAGACACACACGTGCACACATACCACACACATACACACATGCACACATACCACACACACCACACACGTGTGCACACAGGCACACACACACATACACATACACATTGTGTGCACACACACATACACACCACACATGTGTGCACACAGACACACACACATGCACACATACACATACTTATACACATATTCACACATACACACAGACATGCACACACACACACACCCATGTCACACCTGGTCACTTGGCGATAAGAAGATACTTCTATGCAAACACATCTAAGCTGGATATGATGGTCTGCAGACGCAGGAAGGTCAGGAGGAGCTCAGGCCATCCTTAGTGAGTTTAGGCCAGCCTGGGCTTTGGGAAATCCTGTCCCTAAATCAAAATAATGGAACCCAAAAGGCACTGGAATCATCTGAGTTCACCAACACTCAGAAACACATAGAAATTCCCGAAAAACCAGTTGGTAATGTTATGGGTGTCCTGAGTCTAAGAATTCCATAGCACAACAATGCTTTCAAGCAAAAGGGAAATCCATAAAACTCAAACAAGAGAAAGGGCAACAGGGTGATTCAGGACAACCGACTGCAAAAGTGTTTTCCTGGGGAGATCTCACAGCCCTCTCGCCAGCCCGAGTACTAGCAGTGGTCTGCAGGTACGTGAAGTCTGAGAGGCGCCCAGCTGAAGTGTGCTGCCTTCTTTTGGTGCGTTTCTGAGCTCAGGGAAACTGTCCTGGCTAGGGACCAGAGCAGACATCACTATGGGGGTCACTCCAGAATTCTATGGGAAAATAAAAGCAAACTACTAGTTTTTTTATGGGACGGACAGACGTTAAATCACGTTTCTCCTCCCTTCCAGCACAACTGCCCCACGGTTGGCCGACTCTCAGAGCATTCGTCGGAGCTTAGTCCCATTGGTCAGCACTAACGTGGCAGCTCACCAAGGAGCTCAGGGTCTGGAGCTCTCATTCTGGGAGTGGGGTTGCTGCCTAGAGAGGAGGTGTGCGTCCTCACAGGCTTACCCTGTCTCACTTTTCATCTTCTACCACAGACGACACAGCACGGACATCTGCCGGTCTGGTCCTTCAACTTTGTGACTCTTTGACTTTTGTATGCTCCGCCCTCCAAAGCAGAAATAAACCCCTGTCCTGTACTCACGGCCCAGGGTGTGGGCAGTCCTTTGTAACAACATAAAATGGGCTAAGATTGGGTGTGGGTACACACGTGCAAGGGTGCTGCTACCAATGACCTTCCACTCATGCACTGGGCACAGACCTTCCTGTCCTACCCAGGACCCAGAGTCAGGACAACAGAGAAACACAGCAGTCTGTTAGTAAATACACATTTATCAAGGATCAGGCACACTGGAGAGAAAAAAAAAAAAAAAAGAAAAGAAAAGAAAGAAAATACAGTTACCAGTTCTGACAAAGACAAATTGAGAGAAGAAAGCTAATACGGATACAGTAATTTCAGAGAGATCCGAGGCCACTGTAACCTCACCACAAATGAATTAACAGAAACCAGTAAGGGTGAAGTAAACAACAGAAGGGTAAGGTCCTCCTTGGGCTGACACGCTCATTTCAGAGACAGTCCTTCCAAGGGACGGCAGCTGTACCCAAGGAAAGCTGAAGTGCTTGAGAAAAGCAAAGAGGACTCGGATGTCCCGGCCGGCTGTGGGCTGTGTAAGAGTCCCCACACTGAGGAAGTAGTACAGAGCTTGCCGATGCCTGCTGCCAACCAGACAGACTTATAGCGGGGGGGGGGGGGGGGCTGTCACTTTCATAAGAAATATAATTGAATTGGAAAAAAAATTATTGACAATTCTGCAGAACAGTAAGTACTGTTTATAGTACCGGCTGAGGGTACTTCCCTCCAGAACTCAGCTACAAATGACGAGTACTCAGAACCAAGCTGGACACATGCAAACCACTCAGCAGAATGCTCGACGGGATCCCGAGCCAGCGTGAATAAGTACCGGCTAGACTAGCTCTTACCAGAGGCTCAGCAACAATAAGGCCTACAGAACTACCCATCACCATCATTGCCTTCAGAGGACCAAGGGGGTGGGTGGGTCTAAGAGAAAAGTACCGTCCCCTGTATCAGGAAGGGTGTGCAGCAGAAAAGATGGCTGTGCTCTGTTTTCTGAGCCATGAACCAAAATACACCCATATCCACCCTTAGATCCTACCTCAGAGCACAGCTTGAGCACAACGTAAGACTCATGCCAGATGGCACACACAGGCCATAACATAAAGCCGTGGGTTGACACAGCACCCCCGGGTGGCTACAAACCCACATTCACCGTCTTTGAAACTGTACTAAAATAGATCCAATGCTAAGTGCTGGAGTGGGGGGGGGGGTCACGTGTGAGACCCTGGCTTTGGGGAGTGTGTAACACGTGTGAGACCCTAGCTTCAACCCAGAAGGTAATGTATGTGTTTCTAAAGCGGGCACTCAGGAACCATGATCAGTGGTTATTTCTGCTGTCAAAAGCACAGGCACAGCGTGTGGGAACACGTGGGTTTAACTATTAGATTACTTATTCCTTAGTTTGAATATCTCTTCCCCTCCCCCCCCCATTGTTTCAATGTAAACGACCATCCTTTCCCTAGTTTGCCTGATGGGCTTAAAAAAAAAATTACTTCTTCAAACCTCCTGAAACTCAATTGCTTTTACCTTACCAGTGGACCACCACCACCACCACCCCACCTTTCCCAGGGATAACTGATATCGTGTCTTCATCCAGATTTGCATCCCAAACTTTTCACAAAACTGAGTTGGTATAAGAGAATCATTTGGATACTTAAAAAAAAAAAAATTAAAGTGCATTTTAGCACAGGGATGACGTCTCAGTTCAGACATGGTTGTGAGTTTTATCTCTATATTCACGTGGGTCGAGGGAGACAGCTGTGGCTATGACTGTATATATATCCATTATTGCATTTAGCCTTTTGCCCTTCAACGTTGAGATCAGAATAAATTCTGGGGATGAAGTGTGCATTTTCCTTTGCGGAAGCCTGTCAAGTGTATTCCTGCCCGCAGTCCGCTGTCTTCAGGAACAGGACCTTGATCCCCGCCCCAGGGAGTGTTCCATGTCTAACTGAAACCAAGAAAACTGCAGCACCTCAGGTCCCTTTGAAGCTAAGGATGATGCACTTCTAGCCATGAAGTAACTGGATTTCTCCCAAGAAGGATTTCCAGGAAAGTGAGCCTAGATGATATGGCCACTGATCAATTCCGGAATTGCCCATCTGGTGCCCATCTGACTCCTCAGTAAATGGAGGAGGGCTTGTGTGGAAGACAACACAGAAAAGCAAAAGGGAGTTGGCAAGAAAAAGGAGAGTCTACCACAGTTCCACCTTAAAAGAGAAACCCTCCTATTAGCACAGCTGGCCACTTCCTGTGCTTCTGCTATGTGCAGTTAAGCGTCCACCTAAATTACATATAACACAATACATACAAGCATACCACATGGCCGTATCTGCAGCGTCAATGATCAGTCACGTACTACTGGGCTAAATACTTAACCAATTATGAAACTGGGTATGAATTAGACTGATTGTTTCCCCTATTCAATGTGTTGTGAAGAGAATATTTACTCATGTCTTCCAAAGCCTGGGGTAATGCCTT